AAAAAAAAAAAAAAAAAAAAATATAATAAAATAATAATAATAATAATAATAATAATAAATAAATAATTTTAAATTTAAAACGGCCAACTCACAGGCCGACACATAACTCCACCTTCTTGAACAGGAATAAAATTCAAACACTACAAGCTGAGTCAAGAAGACCAGTGTCGTGCAAACCCTGTAATTCAAACCATTCTATGATGATGTGCGTCAAATTTAGAGAACTTTCCGTCCTCGATCGGAACAAGTTCAAAAAAGATCACAATTATGGTAGAAATTGTTTGGCGTGCTCTCACACCGATAGAGATTGCAAGAGCAATTTTACATGCATCTACTGCCAAAGAAGGCATCACTCACTCCTCCATTACTCTAATAATAGCCAAACAGTTAACAATCAAAGATTCTCAAGAAAAACTGTCACATTCCAAGTGGCAATTGACGAAGAACGGCCCTGTACCTCTCAACAGGCAGCAAAAGCGTCAAACCCTACTCCAAAAGAGGATGATAAAATTCTTTCACACTCCTCCAGCAGTAGAGAAAGAACATTGCTTCCCACAGCAATCATCCCGATTCTCCATAAATGAGAAATAACTCAAATAAGAGCACTCATAGACCAAGGGTCTCAAAAAACCTTCATAACCTCTCGTGTGCAAAAATTACTAGGACTTCCCACCACAAAAACTCATTACGAGATTCTAGGAATGGGCGGACACACGGTACGAAATTCAAATAAAATTTGTTCATTAACAATATGCTTCAACGATAGCAAAATAAAAATCGCAACTCAAGCGATTATACTCCCACAGCTAACCCAATTCTTGCCGTCATTCAAGATCACATATCTTGATATAAAACCATATGCCTCTCTACCTTTAACAGACCCCAGCTGCATCGCTCCAGCAAGAATCGACATGGTAGTCGGTAGTTATATCCTACCGAAAATACTAGTCCCAGGCCTTAAAAACGATATCGGTGGAAGCCTCATAGCCCAGAATACCATCTTTGGATGGATTTTAAGCGGACCTGTAGCACAACCGATTACATCACTCAGTACGCAAGTAATCGAGACCATGGCCGACCCCTTAGGTGATATGCTGAAGAAATTCTGGGAACAAGAAGAAGTGTCAGGAGCCCAGACACAGACGGATGAAGACACCATCTGCGAGGACCTCTATCGAAATACCACTTACCGGAGAAATGACGCTCGATATGTGGTAAAACTCCCCTTCAAACCGGAATTTCCCAACTCGATGGCTTTAGGACACTCAAGACTCTCAGCTCAGCAGCAATACATCAGCATCGAACGAACGAACTTCAAAAAATCTATGCAGAGGTCCTAGAACAGCACCAAACTCTCGACCATATGGAGCGAACGAATGCCCAAGAAATTATACGGGACGGCAAATACTTCTTATTCTATCTGCCACATCACGCAGTAATAAAACCCGATAGCAAAACCACTAAAGTCCGAGTGGGATTCAATGCGTCTAAACTCTCTCACTCAGGTCTCTCCCTAAACGACGTACTGCACACAGGCCCCATACTGCAAAACGATCTTATGCTCGTAATAATCAGGTGGCGGTTATATAAGTATGTTTTTAATGGCGATATTGAAAAAATGTATCGCCAGATATATGTCCACAAGGAAGATCAAGACTTCCAACGGATTCTCTTCCGCAAATCCCCAAGTAGCCCAGCAGAAGACTACAAACTAAAAACAGTAACGTTTGGTGTGAGCTGTGCACCATACCTAGCCATAAGAACACTCCATCAGCTGGCTGAAGACTCCAAACCAAAATTCCCACAAGTCGCAAACATTTTAGTTAACGAAACTTATGTTGACGATATACTATCCGGCGGACACGATCTGAACTCAACAAAAACATCAGTCTCTCAAATAATCGAAGTGCTCAAATCCGCCGGATTCCCGCTCAGAAAAATCACAGCAAATAACAGATCACTGTTGAACGAAATACCCGAAACCTATCTCCTAGACTCAGAATTTCTGCAATTTCATGACACGAGCACTACAAAAACTCTCGGTATTAGCTGGAATGCATTGACAGATACATTCTCATATTCCATTGACCCCCTTCCTGACACAAACGCTGCAAAGAAAAGGCAAATATTGTCAGCAGTCGCGAAGCTTTTTGACCCGGCAGGATGGCTATCGCCTATAATGATAACTGCCAAAACCCTACTTCAACAGCTCTGGATGGAAGGAACAGACTGGGACGAAACAATCAAGCCACTCTCGCTTCTCAAATGGAACTCGTTTCGGAATAATCTCATGGCTATCATCGAAATAAGGATTCCACGTTGGGTAGAATTCTTCCCGGAAGGCGTTATCCAAATACACAGATTTCCTGACGCCTCCGAAAAGGCGTACTGCGCGTGCGTGTATCTACGCACTCAGCACAACGGATCGACGACGTCCCACTTACTCGCTGCTAAATGCAAAGTTGCCTCCCTTAAAACGGTTTCACTTCCGAGACTGGAACTCTGTGGGGCAGTACTTCTCAGAAAGTTAGTAAAGCAGATACAAACTCAACTCGATCTGCCACCTCACGAGCTTACTTTATGGAGTGATTCCTCCATCGTACTAGCTTGGTTGGAAAAACCTCCATGGACATGTGTTGGCGCGCAGCATTGAATTGAGCCTTTAGAAGTTAAAGTTTAAAATGTACATTAAAATGCGAACTTGTGGATGTATGTCCCGTTATTTCCCATTCGAGCCTGTCCGTTGCTAAGTTTTTTAATAAGCTTTCTTTTTCATTTGGTTCGTTGGCGGAGTTAGACGTGCATACATACATCCACGAGAAGCACAATTATTTTAGCGTTAACGTTAACATATTAAAGTATTTTCAAATTAGTTTTCCTTTCCTTATAAAAGGATTATTTGCATATTTTAATTTAATCAAAGTTAGTAAGTTTCGCATACTATACCGCTATGCAGAACAAGGGAAGCGCCGTTATAGAAAAAGGTGTACAGCTTTCGTGCAGTGGACCTGCTGAGCAACACTCATCTCCGCGAAGTGTGCAAGCTGGTGCACAAATCACAGCATTAGGCATGCCGCCCATGGATACAACGCCAATAAATCATTCACCACTGTTTTGTACCACTGCCGTTGCTGTTACCGTGGCAAACACATCTGTTCAATTTTCATCGCCTCATTCGTCAATGCCGGTTGAGCTTAGAAGCATGGCTATGGCGCCAAGCCAGCAGCTTGGATATGCTGGCGCTCCTATGGCGCCAAATCAATTCTCGCCTTGTGACAGACGGTCGTCTCTTCTTGGAGGACCCCAAATGAATTCAACGTTCGCTCATCCATCTGCCTGCGTGTTCGGTCAGAGCCGTCATGCACCGATCAGCACCGCTGGTACGGACTTTGGCGGCAACGTCGTAAACGCCCCACAACCTAGCATTCCATCCTTAAGTACTCTGTATGCACGTGGGTGCAGTGCTGCCGCACAAAACCCATTCTACCCCGTACACGACAGTTCCGGGCTACCACATGGAGGTGCTACGCCCATCGACAACCGTATCTGGAGAGAGGCGCATACTCAGTTTCAGCCAAGCTTAGATTTGAGCTTGAGTCCATCACATATAGCGACAAGGCAAGTGATAAGTAAGGATCTGCCGTCATTCTCTGGGAAACCAGAGGAGCGGCCATTGTTCATCACAAACTATGAGCAGTCAACTGAACGTTGTGGATTTTCGGAACAAGAAAACCTGATTCGTTTGCAAAAATCATTACGAGGAGCTGCCTTAGAAGCCGTCAGAGATAAACTAACGATGCCGTCTACGATCCATCTGGCCATTGATACTTTACGCATGCTGTTCGGCCGACCTGATGTCATTCACAACAGACTGCAGCGCAAATTGAGACAGATGCCAGCAGTGAGAACAGATAGGTTGAATACCTTAATCGATTTGGCCTTAGGCGTTCAGAATTACAGAGCGACGATGCAGGCATTGGCTCTTAACGAATACCTGAATGATCCCATGCTCATTAACGAGCTTCTTTGTAAACTACCAGGTGATATGAAGTTAGACTGGGGTCGTCGGCGGATGGCTACATCTCGCAACGATATTGTCACATTTGACGAATGGTTGTTTGCACTCGCATCATGTGCAAGCCAAGTTACGCCACTTAGCGATGCGACCTCTGCAGAAGAAAAGATAGGGCGAAGAGGTAATAGGGAAAGAGTCTTCATGCACGGTCAGATAAACCACGAAGTCGACTCCACGAAATCATGTAAAGACAACATGACCTTCCTTTCACTTTGTCCTCAGTGCAACAAAGACCATAACCTCTCCGCTTGCCCGGATTTTCGGGAAATGAGTCGGAACGAACTTTGGCAACTGATTAAGGACAGAAGGCTTTGTAATCGTTGTTTCAAAGCCCACATGATGAGACGCTGCAATTCTAGACGAGTCTGCGGTGTGGATAACTGCCGAATGGCACATAATCCACTGTTACCTAATCAAACCACGAACCTCAACGCTCAGTCGAACATAGATAATTCTACAATTCTACTTCATCAACGTAAATCTAAAAGAACAATCTTTCGGTACATTCCAGTAATCCTGTACGGCCCAAGAGCCACAATTGAGGTGTTTGCCTTAATTGACGAAAGAGCGTCGTGTACATTGATGGATAGCAGGCTAGCTGACCAACTCGGTCTCGACGGACCTAGTGAAGAACTCTGTTTGAAATGGACAGGCGGCATATGTCAGCAAGAAGCAAACTCCAAATATATAAGCTGCGAGATATCTGCCAGAGGAAAGAACTCAACGCGCTATCGTTTACGAAATATGCGCACCATTACGGACCTCGAGCTACCGCAGCAATCTTTAAACGCCGATACCCTGAATGCGCACGAACATCTGAAGTCACTACCTATTCTGCCATACACTGACTGTAAAGCACGACTGTTAATTGGTTTGGACAACACAACCAAACTCTGCGTTCCAGCGGAAGTGCTCCAAGCCGAAAACGGGGACTTAATTGCTGTTCGCTGTAAGCTGGGCTGGTCAGTTTACGGCCATGATAATTCTACTCATATGCCAGCCGAGAGTTTGCTCTACGTTTGCAGTTGTAACAAAGACAACCAACTAGACAGCTTGATGAGGACCTATTTTGCCGTAGATTCTGTTGGTATCAGTCCTGCAGTCAAACCTCTTACATCGAAGGCAGACGAACGTGCATACCACCTGATGGAGAAAACAGTGAAATATAATGCCGACGATAAAAATGGGAAACAGGTCTTTTGTGGAAGTACGACAACATCGATCTACCTGACTCATACCGAATGGCTCTCAACCGTCTCCAATGTTTGGAAAGAAAAATGGCAAATAACACGGAGCTTAAGCATTTTTTTGTCAGAACATTGAACGAATATATCGATAAGGGCTATGTGAGAAGACTGAAAGCCGACGAAGTCTCTAGAGGAGGCAAATCCTGGTTCATTCCGATATTTACAGTCTTAAATGTCAACAAAAATAAAAGGAGAATCGTATGGGATGCAGCCGCGAAGGTTAGTGATACGAGTCTAAACGACGTACGGCTCAAGGGTCTTGATCTTCTGCGTTCGCTGGTCGGTATCCTGATGCGATTTCGTGAACGTTCGGTGGCTATATGTGGGGACATTCGCGAAATGTTCCACCAAATTCGGGTGAAAGAAGAGGACCAGGTGGCGCAACAGTTTCTTTGGCGAAACGGTGATGTTCATCGACGGCCTGATGTCTTTGCCATGACCGTAATGACGTTTGGGGTCATCGTGCTCCCCGTCCCTGGCTAACTACATAAAGGACAAAAATGCTATACGATTTGAAAGACACTTCACAAGGCCGTAGCAACGATCGTTAGTAACACATTTGTAGACGACTGGCTGCACAGTACAGACAATGAAGACGAAATGGTGCAACTTGCTTCTGATGTTCGCAACATACATTCTGTAGGCGGTTTTGAAATGCGAAACTGGCTATCGAATTCCAAACGAGTTCTACAAGCAATGACCAGTCAGAGTAAGCTCGCAATCAAGTGTTTTCTAGAACCGGGGTCAGAACTTCAAAAGGTTTTAGGAATGTGGTGGCTTCCTATTAGTGATGAGCTAACATTTGTTCACAAATTTAAGCCAGAGGTCTTCAATGAAACTCGTCTTCCTATAAAACGACAAATACTGCGGCTGGTGACGACTATCTTCGATCCTTTGGGCTTGTTAGGCTTTTTCGTGATACAAGCCAAAATGTTTTTACAAGATGTATGGCGATCGGGCGTAGCATGGGACGAGCCTGTGCAAGATCGTGAATGCTCAGCATGGTGGCAGTGGCTGCGAAGGCTTCATTTCGTCTGTCAAATTCGAATTCCACGGTGCTACCAACTGGCGAGTCATAGCAGTGATAATCAACTTCATGCCTTCGTCGACGCTAGCATATCAGCATATGCAGCTGTGGCCTTTATACGTTCGAGTATAATGAACAAAATCTACTGCAGTCTTGTTGCTTCTAAAACCAGAGTTGCTCCTTTGAAGCCACTCTCAGTACCAAGGCTTGAACTGATGGCTGCCATCCTAGGTCTTCGTCTAGCTAAGTTTATAGAACAGGAGGTCTCTATAAATATAAACCGCCGGATTTTCTGGTCCGATTCGAAAGACGTTCTCTGCTGGATAAGGTCAGACACCCGAAAATTCAACCAGTTTGTGGCTGTACGTGTTGGTGAAATTTTAGAAGATTCACAAGTCAACGAATGGCGGTGGGTACCATCGAAGGATAACGTAGCAGACGACGGAACTAAGTGGACCCCAAATATGGAAATTAACAGTGCAGCCAGATGGTTCACCGGTCCCGACTTTCTAAAATTATCAGAAACTTCCTGGCCTACCATTAATTTCGAACAAGTTAAAACTGCAGTGGAAATAGTTCAACACATGAATACGTATAACACACCAAAACATGATCCATCACCGGATCCACAAAGGTTCAGCAAGTGGGAAAAACTACGGTCTGCCCAGATGTGCATTCTTCGGTTTCTTCGTTTGATCATGAAATTTTCAGCAAGAAATCCTATTACACAGATGTTACTCGATGACACAACTTGTACAAGTGCTGAAATTCTTCTATTTCGTAAATGCCAGCAAGAGTATTATACCACAGAATATACTCAACTAAGAAGCGGCGCGGTAAGTCGTAAAAGCTCAATTTACAAATTTTCTCCATTTATAGATGAGTATGGACTGTTGAGAGTGAAGGGTCGAATTGACGAAGCACGAGAAGTACCAGCTGATCTTAAACGACCCATTATACTTCCCCGAAATAGTATCATTACTCATCTCATCACAGAGTTCTACCATCGGAGGTTCCATCACCACCACAACGAAATAGTGATAAATGAGATGAGGCAGCGATTTTGCGTTCATGGCCTACGATCATTGGTGAGAAACGTGACCAAGCTATGTCAACATTGTTGCAATCGGCGAGCCATGCCGAATCCACCTGAAACGGGAAAGATACCCATGGAGCGCCTGGCAACATTCTGCCATCCGTTTGCCTACACAGGCGTCGACTATTTTGGACAATTTGATGTGACTGTTGGCAGAAAACACGAGAAACGTTGGGGAGTCGTGTTTACGTGTATGACCATATCCACCGACTCTGCTGGTGCTGAAGTTGTTTATTTCAAGAAGGGGAGTACCCATGCGAATCCTCTCAGATAACGGCACCAATTTTAGAGGTGCTAGTCGTATACTAGCTGAAGAAATAGAGAAGATATTATCTGAAACAATTATGCGAAAGTATCCTGAGATCGAGTGGAAATTTATACCACCAGCATCACCACATATGGGCGATGCCTGGGAGCGGATGGTCCGATCCATTAAATCCGTGAATCCTGCGTGAAGAAGTATTGCCTTAGCCGACGTCGAGAATATCATTAACATGCGTCCGTTGACCTACATCCCGCTGGACTCTTACGATAGCGAGGCTTTAACGCCAAATCACTTTCTCCTTGATTGTTCCAGCGGCATACGAGAAAAGGATGACTTCGACGTTGGTCTTCCGTCACTGTTAAATGAAAAATTTCGTGCCTCGGGGGAAATAGCCGATCGATTCTGGAGACGATGGATTCGTGAATATTTGCCTGGATTAACAAGACGCGCAAAATGGCCCAGCAGAACCTATTGCCCCGAACGACGTGGTGATCATCGTTGATGAAAACTCGAAACGGAACACCTGGGTCAAGGGAAAGGTGCTAGATGTTATACGAAGTCCCGATGGCCAAGTAAAAAGTGCGGTAGTTAAAACAGCCAACGGACTGGTGACTCGCCCGACAGTGAAATTATCGCGCCTTGACCTTAGAGCGGTGAACCCCACATCAGAGCATGAAGTTCACGGGGAGGGGATTGTTGGCGCGCAGCATTGAATTGAGCCTTTAGAAGTTAAAGTTTAAAATGTACATTAAAATGCGACCTTGTGGATGTATGTCCCGTTATTTCCCATTCGAGCCTGTCCGTTGCTAAGTTTTTTAATAAGCTTTC